AGTAGAGTAAAGTAGAGTAGAGTAAAGTAGAGTAAAGTAGAGTAGAGTAGAGTAAAGTAGAGTACAGTAAAGTAGAGTAGAGCAAAGTAGAGTAAAGTAGAGTAAAGTAGAGTAGAGTAAAGTAGAGTAGAGTAAAGTAGAGTAGAGTATAGTAGAGTAGAGTATAGTAGAGTAGAGTAGAGTAAAGTAGAGTAGAGTAAAGTTGAGTAAAGTAGAGTAGAGTAAAGTAGAGTAGAGTAAAGTAGAGTAGAGTAAAGTAGAGTAGAGTAAAGTAGAGTAGAGTAAAGTAGAGTAGAGTAAAGTAGAGTAAAGTAGAGTAGAGTAAAGTAGAGTAAAGTAAAGTAGAGTAGAGTAAAGTAGAGTAAAGTAAAGTAGAGTAAAGTGGAGTAAAGTAGAGTAGAGTAGAGTAAAGTAGAGTAGAGTAAAGTAGAGTAGAGTAGAGTAGAGTAAAGTAAAGTAGCGTAAAGTAGAGTAGAGTAAAGTAAAGTAGAGTAAAGGGTAGTGTTCTGATTAACAGGACCCTCATTAGAGGAACATACTGAAGAGGAACTTCAGACCTGATGTAGGGCTTCAGGATCCGGGACGTGTACGGACTCTTGATGCTCTGGTCCAAGCTGCCCTCAGCTCCCATCAGACGGTGCCAGAAGGAGACAGAGTTCTGCTGGAGGCCTCTTCTGATGGAAAGGTTGGTCTGTAAAACCACACGATGACTGGATTAGATACAAACTTCATCTCTGGTCCTGGCAGGAAGACTAATGATGAATTATTAAACATGGATTCTTTTTCAGAAGTGACTGTTGAATACACAACCTGAAATCGATCCAGAATTCTCTGCTCCTGGCTGTTGGTGCAGTACTTCCCTTTAACCCCGCCCCCAATGAGTGGCCCCGCCTCCTGAGCACCATAGATCCCTCCCACCAGGCTGAGGGCAGCCCTGACTGCTCGGTCCATGTCCAGCAGCGGGAGCCCTCTCTGTCTCTTAGCCTGGCGGACCAGCAGCTTCCTGTGGAGGCGTTTAGCTTGCGGTGTAGCGGCTAACGCTAACGGGCAGGCGTCCAGCCGCCGCAGCAGCATCCTCTCCTCGTACAGGCTGAGGGGGGCGAAGCAGAGGTACGAGTCAGCTGCGCCGTCAGCTTTCTCAGGATGACTCGTCCTTTGACGCTCGGCCGCTCCAGCACCACCTGCTCCCCGACAGGAAATGGGTGGGGCTTCACTGTGGCCAGCCCCCTTGCCAGTGTTGTCTTGGAGCTCACGGCCATCTTCATCCTCGCTCTCAGCTTCCTGTTTGATGTGAGGTGGCGCCGAGCAAAACTTCTTACGGCCAACGTGGCTGGAGCTGGAAGGAGGGATGTACTCCATGCCGGGGTCGATCATCCCCTCCGTCTCCATCTCCTCGTCATCTGCAGGCAGCGACAGGAAACACATCACCTTCCATCACAACGCCACAGGCGGACCAGACAGCGCCCACTCACCGTGAAACAACGCCTGCGGCGGCATGGCGTCTGGAATGAGGTCGGCCTCCGACAGCAGGCTGGGAGTGGCCGAGTGGGAGGCGGGCGTTCCCGGAGCAGAGAAGTCCGGCGAAGGCGACGGCGACGGGCTGGTGAGCGGCGTCCGGTCTGAGGAGCTGAGGGAGGAGAAGTCAATGACCTCACCTTTCTCCAGGACCAGATCTGGGCGGCGCCCGCCTCGGCCTGCGCCCAGTTTGATGGGCGTGGAGGTGGTGCTGCGGTCAGCGTAAGCTCCCACGGCCTCCTTCTGAGCTCGCCGGATGTCTTTGGCCTCCTGCGTGCGACAACGCTTCTCCTTCAGCTGCATGGCATTCTCCACGGGGTTCCTGGCTCCACGCTTCCTCAGACCCTCCACCGTGATGATCGGCTCCATCACTGCTTTGGAGGCTGCAGGTGAACGACTTGAGGGGTCAGTGGGCGGAGCCATGTCACCTGGATACTGCTGTGGGGCTGTGGCTCACCTTTAGTCTTCGTGGTGGACTTATCCCCCTCTGGTCTCAAGGTGGGGGGTCTGTTCTGGACCAGCTTCCACCATCCGGGTTCTCCGAACTCCTGCGCTCCCGAGCGGAAGAAGGTGGGGCTTCCCACCGACAAGCAGCCTGCGACCGTGCTCCACCACGTCGACGTCTTCTTCCTACAAACGGCCGACAGATGACTCATCATCATCATCATCATCATCATCATCAGCTGATCGGTTCCTGAAAACAAAACTTCGACCTGCCGTGATCACGTGACCAACAGGAGCGTCGGGTTTGACTCCAGCACTGGTTTCAGACGTGGAATTTAAAAACTGGAGTTCATCTCATTTACCTGCTCTGAATGATGAACAGTCCAGGTGAGTCTCCAGGCTCACCTGTTCCCCAGCAGGAAGTTCCAGTGTCGACCAATGAAAGCACAGATGTCCTCCTTCCACCTGAAGTAGCCCTGRCTTCCTGTTCCCTCTAGAGACAGGTTGTACATGGCCAACATCACCACCTGACACAAAGGAAACACCTGCAATTACCTGCACACACACAGTGTGTGTGTCTGTGTGTGTGTGTGTGTGTGTGTGTGTATGTATGTGTGTGTGTATGTGTGTGTGTGTGCGTGTGTGTGTGTGTGTGTGTGTGTGTGTATGTATGTGTGTGTGTATGTGTGTGTGTG